AGCTTTTTTTTTTTTTTTTTTGGGAAATTAGGGGCAGAGCCCATTCATTAAACTATGAAAAGGAACCAATTACAAGTAAGCAAAGAAAGAAGAAGAAAATGTGAGCAACAATGCTCATAAGAAAAAGGAGCAAGAGCTCACAGCAACCACAAAACTATAAAACCCAAACCTATGGCAAGACCAAAAAAAAAATGATAAAAAACAGAATGCCTGGACTCAGGTATTGAGAATAACTCGCAAAATAAATTGCGCATTTAGATAAGTAGTGGCTCCCTTGGTTGCCCGAAGGCCGTCCAAAGGGATGCCAGGACGGGAAGACATCATCGTCCAAGGCATCAAAATTCCCATCCAAATTAGCAATATGATTCTCGAATGCATCCCGATTAATAAAGCAACGTGCGGCCTGCACCAAAAAACTACAGCAAAATTTTCGATATGTCCTGCCATTTGCCCAACAGCCATGCCAGGTTGCCTGAGTAACCACAAAAACCCAGAAATCCATGTATCCGAAAAGCTCAGCAAGATAGACAGAGGGACCACGAGAGTAACACCATCCAACCACATTCAACAGCTCAAGAAAATACCAATACCCAATACAAAAGGCATTCCGGTCAGTAACAGCACAACGTTCCAGCACAAAATAATGCATATTAATGCATTCGCTTAAGAATATCCTTGTAAATATCGCCATCCTTCCAGGATTTAATTTTTTGAGAAACAGCCTTGATAATTAAGTGATGAGTAGTGGTACTGCTACAAAATTTGTTCCCAAATTTTCTTGAATTCCTCTCCCTCCAAATATAGTACACAGTGCACCACAGAAGCAGAGGGTAGAAAGTACGCTTACCCAGCAAAATAAAATTCCCATCAGCCAGGAAATCAACGATTTGGTGTAGGTTAGGTCTCAGTAAAAAGGTATTTAAAGCGGGAATTAGTTTAGCAATAATTGCATGGGTATAATCACATTCAAAGTACAAATGTGATACATTCTCAACATTAGAGTAACACAGACAGCAAATAGGATTCACAGAAATGCATCGCTTGATCAACACGTCCGCCGTTTTAAGTCCACCAACCAAACTTAACCAACCAAAAACAGAAAATCTTAATGCAGCTCGCTTATGCCAAAGAACCTTGTGCCAACCAACAACAGTATCATTAGAGTAAAATTCACTTAAAAAATCACTATATCTACCAATTTTGCCATTGTTCCAATATAGAACTGCACCATCCTGGTGAATTAGAATAGAGAGGATCCGAGAAAGGATAGGATCAGATATAAAGGAAGGGATTTGCCATACAGTACCATCCATAATAACCGAAATGTTAGAGTTTAGGGGAAATAAGTCCTTCAAGCCAGAGACATGGGGAAGACTGGATAAACAATCCCCCCAGCACCAATGATCCCACATTAATGAAATGGGTGAACCAACAGTAATTTTGAAAGCAAAGTTTCTTTTGACTTTTAAAGCAGTGTCACAAATCTGTTTCCACATGGGTGAATCCAAACAACCAGCCGGTTTCCAGGGAGAGAAATAATTATGAAAAAACCAATTAGCTAACAGGGATGGAAAATTGTACATCCTAGAAATGATGGAGCAGGAATTAGCAAAGCGAATAGCATTAAGAGAAGGTACACCCAAACCTCCAGCCACTTTAGGTTTATAGGTATTTCTCCAAGATATAAGGTGTAGCTTCTTGGCATTAGCATCCCCAGAATATAAGAATCTAGAAGCCAACTTGTCAATCTGCTTGCAACAACTCTTAGGTATTATGGCTCCACGAATCCAATATGCAATGGTGTTCCATATAGTATATCGAAGGAATTGAAGTCTACCTGCAAAAGAAAGTAGCTTGGCTTTCCAACCAGAAAGCTTGTTAGAAATAACATCTATGAGAGGGGAGAAATCGATGATGGAAGGCTTTTTGATAGAAATGGGAATCCCAAGATAGGTGATTTTAGTGTGAGATTGAGGAATGTTGAGAGCAGCACATATATCATTGGAATTCGGCGTGTTAGGATGCATGATGAGGGTGCTTTTATGAGTATTGACAACCAACCCGGAGGAGGAAGCAAATTTGCTAAGCAAGTTGGTAAGAGTGTTGCAGTTGTTAACATTAGCCTTGCCAAAAACCAAGACATCATCCGCATAAAGGAGGTGAGAGATTTTAAAGTCCCCAATTTTAAAAGGCTCAAAAACATCTCCGTCAAGGGAAGAATCCAAAAGGTTGGAAAAAGCATCCATTGCAAAGCAAAATAAATAAGGGCTCAAAGGGCAACCCTGCCGAAGACCAGAAGAGGAGGGAATGAATCCTTCCAAAGCTCCATCTAAGCAAATGGAAAAGTTAACATCCATAATACAAGACTTGATCCACCCAATAAACTCTTGAGGAATGCCTTTCTGTGCAAGCCTTAGAAGAATGAACTCTCTGGACACAGAATCAAAGGCTTTTTTAATGTCGAGCTTAGCACACATATAATTAGATCTCCCACACCTCTTGAAGAACCCCAAAATTTCGGATCCAAGGATCACATTGTCAGTAGAAATCCTCTTGTTGATAAAGCCAGCTTGAGAGGTATTAATGATTTGAGGCATAATATGTTTAAGCCTAGCCGCCAGAATTTTAGTAATAATTTTGTACAATGTGTTACAAAGAGAAATTGGTCTAAAATCCAAAATAGATTCAGCATGGTTACTTTTTGGAATTAAAGCAATAGCGGTATTCTTAACACTTCTGGTGATGTAACCTTTCAGGGAAAAAGATTGAATAGCTCTGCAAAGGTGCGGACCAATAATGTGCCAACCAGTTTTGTAGAAATGAAAGTTGAAACCATCCGGACCGGGAGAGGAATTTGAGCAACCTGAAAAAACATCATGTTTAATATCATTAACAGTCACCGGCCCAATGAGAATATGCCTAAGGTGAGGCGGAAGAATGTCTCCAACAGGAAAACAGTTAAGATCAGGTTGACCAGCAGGTGTGGGGTTATAGAGATTGTGAAAATGTTGGATGATATCAGCATGTCCATTAGGATTAGAGATCACAGTGGAGTTAATGATACCTTTAAGATTTTTCCTCCCCCTGATTTTAGAATACAGAAAATTAAGGTCATCTTCTCCCCTAGTAAGCCATTTAGCTTTGCCCCGTTGTATGATCCAAGAAGACCAAGAGTTGGAGAGATCAGCAATTTTAAAGTTAAGGTCTTTCAAGCTAGCATTAAGGCTTTCATTGTTAGGATCAACATCCAAACTAGAAAGAATGTCATGCTGTATGCTGGTAAGCTCTTTCAAAGATGTCTCAATTTTGAGAGAGGAGGAACATTCTTTTTTCTTAAGAAGAGTTTTAAAACATTTCAGTTTATCACAAAAGTCTATTAAAGGGTTCCCATTAGCTCTTTCCAGGAAGACATTGAGGAGGATATCCCAATAACCCGGCATATTGGTCCAATAATTTTTGAATTGAAAACGATGAGGTTTAGAGGGCACCTCAAGATCTTTAATCAGAATGGGTGAATGATCAGAGCAAAGGGGTAAGGGGTTCTCCCACCAAGTAATAAGAGCAAGGATAGGCATCAAGCCAAGCATCATTTGACAAAGCCCTATCCAATTTGATGTGTATGGGGTTAGCATCTTGTTGATTATACCATGTGTAAAAGTGCCCAGAAGAAGCAAGATCCTTGAGATTTGAGTCAAAACACAGCGATTGAAGTTCTCCAAGCTTGCTAAAATGCAGAAGAGAGCCCCCGGCTTTTTCATTTTGATACCTACAACAGTTAAAATCCCCCATAATAATCCAGGGAATAGTGGTGTTCTGAGCAAGCTGTCTAATATGATTCCAAAGAGACCGACGCTCTTCAATAGAATTTGAAGCATAGATTACAGAGAGTTGAAATTGAGAAGAAGCACCATACTTAATCAATCCACTGATTAATTGTGAAGTACAAATTGAAGGAATAAAATTAACCTTGTTCGAGGACCATTTTAGCCAAATCCTACCGGATCTGGCACAATCAAAGTTATGAAAACTGCTTTCATAAGGAAACACCTTGTGAGCATCACAGAACCAGGGGGCATTAAGACTAGAAACATTAATTCTGTTTTCCAACAGACAGAGCATATCTAACCTTTTATTTTTAACTAATTTCTTACAAATGAGGACTTTGCTAGGACTATTAAAGCCCCTAATATTCCAACACACAATGGTTGGCAAAATCATTGAGATTTGGTGGAAGAAGAGGTAGGCTTCTTGGATTTCTTACCTCTGGTTTTTGGCTGATGATTGGAAGTACCCGTGTGCTGTTTAGATTGCATACTCTTTTGTTTCTGATTACTAAGATCGGTCAAAGTTTCAACCGTTGTGGAAACATCCTCAAAAGTTTCTTGCAAAAGAGCATCATACTTATTCGGAGAAATAATACTTTTCACCACCTTATCAGACATAGTAAGATCAATACTGTGAACTAACCCATCTTCCGTAGGAGAGTTCAAATTCGGAATTTTCGAATTAGCGGATGCTTGAAAAATAGATTCAGATGGTTTCTCAGGCAGAACAGATTGAGCAATCACTTCTTTTTGATTGGAGCACATTTCAGTTGGCTTTTCACCCATAGGAGGGATTATAGTGGAAGTGGAGTATTCTGGAAGATCTTTGGTGATTGATGAGGGTCGGGTAATAGAGGTTGATGCTTTATCTTTAGGAGATGATTGCAGAGAAGGTTGCATGAAGTTTGTGGTAAGAGCCCTATTATGACTAGTACCACTAGAACTAGGGGATGAAGGACCTGGCAAAGTGGAATGAGGAGGTGGCTGCATATTCCGGGAGATGGGCAGCTTGCTACGACTAGGACCCCTAGTCCGTGAAGCACGACCAGTCCTGCTCTGGTCCCTACCACGGCCAATGGGAGGTTCAGATTGCTGAGGATTCGGGTTAGATGGGCATAAGTTTGTGGAGTGTAAAAGGGTATCACATAAGGTGCAATGGTCCGGCCTCCATTCATACCTGATACTTAAGTTAATGATTTCATCTTCGATCGAAATGGGAACAAATTCTGGGTAAGTAGATTTACTGTTAACCTGAACACAAAGACGTGCAAAAGTTAACCGGGATTTCTGAGCAGTGAGGGAATCGACAGTCAACGGAATACCGATTTTACTCGCTATCCTCGATATCCCTTCCGAATTCCAACAACACAACGGCAGGTCCATGATTTTAATCCAGATTGGAACCGTTTTGAAAACATCCCTTTGAGGTCTAAATTTAGGGTACCATTTTTGAAGAATAAATGGCTTTCCCAGAAGAAACCATACCCCCTTTGACCATACCATCTCATAATCAACAGAGGAAAAGAATTTGAGAAGAAAGAACCCATCACTTAAATTAAAAAGCTGCAGCGTACCTTGAAGTTTCCAAGCTTTTTTAATGGCAGCAAGTAAAGCTTCGTAATAAGGTCGACGACCTACCGAATAGCCCACCAGAGCAAGACTCCATTCTTCCGAAGCAACATCTGTTTTGGCTTTAGGAAAAACAACAACCTCATCAGGTTCATTGTACAATGAAACCGGGATATCCTTGGAGGAAAAACTGACGAGATTCACAATATTGGACCAATCTTGAAGAGGGTTAACATGAATAGATTTAAGAGAGGAACAGGATAATGGAGGAAAATGATGGGTAGAAGACTCCATGATGAGATTCTCCCGCCGGCAGAGCCGGGGAAGAAACGCCGGTGTGAAGGGGCGAAAGGAGGGAGCGGAAGAGCTGAGGGCGGCTAGGGCATAATGGTGTAAATTTAGAATTTCAGTCCACAAACTATTCCTTTTTTGATCAAGGTAAAATATGAATCTCAGTTTCTGAAGGAGCAGAAAGTACAAATAAGAGAAATAACTGCAGCTCTCACCTCCTAGAGGCACTCAGAGAGAGGAAGTAGCCACATCAACTTCTACGCTAGTTGTGGCCTTGCAACCACTGAGCTTTCGCCTGGATGCAACAAATGCCCATGTTGCTCCCGCCACTGAAGGGACCGAAGCCTCTCATGCTCTCTCTGGTACTCTCTAACGAATTTGTTTGGAAGGAACTAAAGCAACCCACGCCATCCTCCCTGCTATCTCAGTCAAATGGACAAACGGAAGAGAACGGATCGGTCCTCTTCGATTTTTACTTGGATGAGGGAAGAAGAAGAAAGCCACTCCCTATCCCCTCTCCGATTTCACCAAGTACTTGCATCTCTCTCTTTCTCTCTCTCTCTCTCTCCACACACTGCGCCATTTTCTTTTTGCTCAAAATTTGATGAAGATCTCTAACCGCCTCACCCATGCTTTTGTTATAGCAGCCGTAAGGATACAGCTGCCGTAAGGACCATCCTGTCCCTAACTCGTTTTAACTTAACGGTTGAGATTTATTTGAATTGCCCTTGACAAACTAAAGTCTAAAATTCCTTCTTAGATGTGGAAACAGGAGCTGTCCTAGACTCCTAGTCATTTAATTTCCAGCCGCTTGATCTAAATTTATTCGATTTGGAAGGCTGGGAAAGTTTTAAAATCAAAATTGGCTAAAATTATAAATGAACTTAGATTCAATTTGAGATAAATTAGACCGAATTATCGCACTCTTCGTCGTTTGAGAACTTCAGCATTATATAACTGAATTTTTTATTTAATTTAATTTAATTTCATTTTGATGCGATTAGTTGTAGAAAAAAGTCGGTACAGCCTCGAGAAGGATTCAAATTAATTCAATTTGATTTAGCTAAGTCCAATTTAGAATGATCAGAGTCGATTAAAGTCGATTGGACTTATTAAAGTTCAGCTTAATTTAATTTAACTCATGGGGACTTATTTTAGTTAAATCTAATTTGAATTATAACTAATTTGATTGTCTACTTGAATTGAAATTAAATTGATATTGATTTGAGTTCAATTTAATGTAATTTTGGAGATATTTGATTTAGCATAATTTGGGCATATTTAGTTTGATTTAGCTTGATTTGACTCGCTTCCATTCGATTCTAAAAATGTTAATTTGAAATTATCTACCATTTATTTGTAAATAGGGTTCTCTCTTTTGTGGAGTTTCTTTAGGAGCGGATTTGTCCTTATCCCCAACCAAATCCATCTCCTCCAACCAAGCTCCAGCACGTCAAAGCCGCAGTTCTTCTAGCTTTTAATTATTTATTTACTTTTCATAAAACCGGGTACTACCATGTACAACGCTGCTATTATCTTTAAAACATCTAGGTTCTGCAGTAACCTCTAAGGAAAGAAAACGGCATTTAGTTTACTACTTTTATAGAAAATAGGAGCTATACAATAACTGGCAGCTATCCAGGGTCAAAATAGAGAGAACAATGTTTAAAATTGCGTATTCGGGTATTGAGGCGTTTTTCATTCGTGATGTGAGGCGTAAGCCTCAAGGCGTTTTAAGGCGTAAGCCTCAAAATCAAAAGATTGCGTAAACATAAAATGATAAATTTTTTATATACTAATGAGTGAATAATATAAAACATAAAAAAACATAAGATATGAAGTGAAATCAAAATATCCCAATAATAAGACAACATGAAATATAGTTCAACTCAAAATTCTATCTTTCTCAAATTCCAGTATTCTTTTCATTAACATATAATTCCAATTTCCAAAAATAAATAACAATGACATATCACATAAGAACTCATAAGTCAACAGTACTGTCATCACTAGGGGGTAATTCATTTGAATCATCATTATTATGATGAACTGCTCTCTCTCCTTCCTCCTCTCCTATAGAGTCCAATGTCGGGCATTTACTTCAAGATTTATGTAAGTTTTAATATATATAGCGTGAGGCGTAAGACTCATGCCAGTGAGGCGAGGCGAGCCTCAACCAAGTTGAGGCGCAAGCCTCATAAAAAAAACTCAAGACGTAAGCATTGAGGTATTTTTAACTGGAATTGTGCAAAGGCGGGCCTCAAGGCAAGCCTCATATTGCGCAATTTTAAACCATGAGAGAGAGTGCTTGTAGTACTGCTAGAAAGGAGAAGCCAAAAAGCAAAAGAAAACATCAGCAAAAATACTAAATTACAGTACCCTTATTTATGTATGATTCATAGATCATTGTGATTCATTTACAAAATAATTTATTAACATTTTTTAAGCGTTATAACCTCTCATACTGAAAAAATTATTAAATGCGGAGTGTGGATGATGTTTGGACGCCAATCATGTGAACACGTGGATTTTCTTCTCTCTTTTGTGTACAGAATGTGTACAAAAGAAAGAAAATTCACATGTCTTCACATGATTGACGTCCGGACAAAAAAACTGCGTCCAATCTCTGCACGTAATAATCTCTCATTTTTTGCCTACAAAACAATACTAAGAACAAATCAATATCAGAGCACTTATTCTTGTTGAATGTACAAACAAAAAAGATCATGTCAAAAAATAGAAGAATATTTACTTACCATAAATCACATTGAAAGACAAAAATTAAAAAACACCCAAAAAATAATGGCTCCAAATGACTCTACTCCTAATATAGCCAATAAGGTGGCAATGATAATGTTAAGGATTGGTTGAAGAAATGAAACCATGTGAGACGGCTTCAATGATAGCCTATATAGAATTACACCAAAGTTATATCTTGTTTTGTAAACTCTTGATGATCATAAAGCCAGGAAGAAGGGAAAACCAGAGAGGGAAAGTCGACTAATAATAATATTAAATTACTAATAATAATATTAAATTAATATACTATCATTTTTTATTCATAGATCAATGGAAATATTCGTCAAAAAATTTGTTTAAATCACAAAATATTTGTTCATATCCATCAGGAAAGTAAAAATTTCATTCTCATCGGGGATTTTTGAGATGCTATAACCATCCAAAGAGGTGATAAGAGAAGGGATAATATGATGGTGAGAAATGTCCACAACCACATTGGAATACCCGAGAGCCCTTTGGAAATGTGATATATGAATTACAAATCATATCTTGATCATCACGCCAAACACCAGAATCCAATTTGATTTTATTAATAAATAATATAGATATTTTGGAATTAACAATGGATGATGAATGCGTAAGAGAAAAATGTTTTCCAATAGGAAGGCATTATTGAGAAAACATCATAAGAGATCAAGTATAAAGCCCATCACAATACATGTTATAACACAAAGCACTTATCATGGTAATTAGAGAGAAGTCATATATAAAAGAGATTAACAAAAATATGTAACTAAATATAAGGAGTAACAAATAATAAATCAAGATCATATATCTTAAACTTCAAAAAATTAGAAGCTCAATAAAGGAAAAAAACGAGCAAAAATTAAAAAACCGGTGAAATTCAAAATAAAATATATACTGACATGTTGAAGTGAGAAATTTAAATATAAGAAAAATTTTTGGCCAGAATGAACTTCTAATATAGATCCTTCTGATATAATTAAAAATATACCATATTCAGTGACAATAAAAGTGTCCAATACTTTTAAATAAAGATGACAACTAAAATTTGCATTAATTCATAGGCTTGACAATATTTGCAAATAAAATATGACCCGTAAGTTTTTTTTTTTTTTTTGATAATTGCAAAATGCATTAAAATATTGAACTAATTACAAACTAGATAAAGAAAAGGAAAGTTACTAAAAGAAGAACTATCAAAAAAGAAATTATCCTCTTTGTTGCATGTACAAACAAAGAATAGGAGAATATTTAATTACCATTAGTTCACATTGAAAGACAAAAAAATAAAAAACAAAACAAGCAATGGCTCAAAATGACTCCACTCCTAATATAGCCAATCAGGTGGCAATGATAATGTTAAGGATTGGTTAAAGAAATGACACCATCTGAGACAGCTTCAATGATAGCCTATATATATTTACACCATAGTTATTTCTTGTTTTCTAAACTCTTGATGATCATAAAGCCAGGAAGAAGGGGAAACCAGAGAGGGAAAGTCGACTAATAATAATATTAAATTAATATACCATTATTTTTTATTCATAGATCAATAGAAATATTTGTCAAAAAAATTGTTTAAACCTTTGTGATCACCATAACCTTTCATTGTGGGCTTATACAATTAAATTAAGTGGTTGGACATGACAAATTAGTATCAGAGCACTCATTTTTGTATCGTACAAACAAAAACAGTATAGCAGAGAGCAGGATAATATATTCTTGACATAAATTCACATCGGATGACCCAAAAGAAACACAAGAAATAACAAATGGCTCAAAATAAGTCCTCTACTAATATAGCAAATCAAGTAGCTAGATTAACAAAACAAATGGCAATGATAATGAAATAACTAAATATGCAATCCATCCCCACCACTTCAAATCTTAGTGATCTTACCCGCAATATGCAATACAGTGATGGGAATGAGGGAGACGATGTCACCATGATAAATGAAGTCAATACTTTTTGAAGCGGAAGCCTAAGTGGAGATTCCCGCATGTGATGGGATTGTTAAACCAAAAAAAAATGCATGGATTAACCAATTAGGAACATACTTGAATTTATACAATAACAACAACAACCCTTTATAGAAAGCAATAGCTGTAAGAAATTTGATTGTTCTGCAAAGGCAACATTAAGAGACTGCTTGTAGTCCCAAGTAGTAAAAAGGAGAAGCCGGAGAGGGATAATTGCATACGGCAAGAATATTAAGTTAAGGTACCTTATTTATAACTCAGAATTAGAATCCTTCTCCAAGGAATTTATTTAACCTTGCAAAATTCAAACCTCTCATTGTCGGCTATGCAATAACATCAAGAAGATGTCTTTGGATCAAGTGTGGTTTAGACATTAAGAAAACAGTAACATAACCAAGAGTGGATAACATGGAAAAGACTGGAGTGGCATTGAGGAGATTTAAGTGACAACCTATCATATAAATCAACAATTTTACTCAACTCATTACCCTCTTGCATTTAACTTTCTTAAAATCATTATAAGTCTTTGCAGTATTCATTTTTTCTTGAACTTTTTTTAAAACAAAATAACTCAAACCAACAAATCTTGTATGAAATTTATAAACCTCTACATTAAGATTGGTACATAAAAGTTATTTTTGTTTAAGAGGTGATTTATGCCACAAATTCTCTCTCACTCTCCCTCTCTCTCTCTACATTTAGAATAACAATTAAATTTTACTAAAACTACATATAGGACATCCATGAGTAATGATATGAGTTGTAACAACTAATGAATGTCACCATTTCATGAATGTCACCATTTCACCGTACCTTACAATCATTTACTTAGGAAAAGTAGCACAACATAGCCACATACTGCAACATCTCACCGTTCAATACAACAACTTATACAATATACCTGCAGTAGAAATCACAAACACTTC